CGATGCGGAGGGGAGGAGAAGGGGAGAGAGAGAGAGAGAGAGAGAGATTGAGAGAAAAACCTGTCTCTAATACCATATAAACATAGACAAGTTAAATCTAAAAGAAAAGTAGAATAGAAGGAAATAAGCTGACAAAGTTCCATATTCAGCTTTTCCGAAATGATAAATTCATCTCAAGCCTCTATATGCTACCACTATGGTGTGTGTGTGTGTGTGTGTATATAATATATATAAGAAATAGGAATACTCTGTGTGCTGCAAGTCTTGGTCTGTTGGTTGGCGTAGTTCACTACAAGTCCCCTCAGGACACGGGTCGATCCCCACTGGCGTTGGGTACTCGAATTTTTAGCAGCATGACGCGGGCTCTCGTCATGGGGCCTAGCGCATGGAAAATGGGTATTTGGGCCTCTGCCAAATACCAATTTACTTTAAAAAAAAAAGAAATTGGAATACCCTATATTTGATGCTTCGTGATAATATACTTCCTGAAGAGTGTTGCTCGTCGATGCTGTTATAAGGTTGTTACTTTCATTGTTATGTTGCAAAAGTAAAATTTTTGTATGTTGAGTATGCTTTTATTCTCAAGCTATAGAATTTTATTCCCCAATCTAACAAACACATTGAAATTTTTGATACTAAGTTGGGAGCAGTTTGTTTTGCCTTTTTGATGTTCTTCAGCAGAAGAAACTCAAAATACTAAGTTGCAATATTCTGTCAGCCACACAAATTTACTACTCTTATTATGGTCTAAACAAAAGAAAATATTAATTTTTTACAAATTTAAACTTAAATAAAGCATGGAATAGTTGCAATTTATAATATAGCAACATTTATGGTTCCTCAATAGAAGTTTTCTTCTGCTGCTCATTCTTCATGTCGGTTTGTTGCTTCATTCCAACTTCATCATTTTCTTTTCCCCACAACACCAAGTAAAGTCCAATAATGACAATAACTCCTCCAATTATGCTTTAAAACAAAAAAAGAAAAAAGAAAAAAAAAACTAAGTGAAAAATGAAGAATAGATACTTAGATTCACTTTGACATTCTTCAACTAAAATTTGGGATATTTACCTTCCTATAAATAGATTTTCACCAAAAACAAAGTATGCCAACATAGTCACTAATATAGTTGATATTGGATTGAACATAGTGGCAAACACTGGTCCTTTTTCCTTTGTGCACCATAACTGAATGAAGACTATTAAACCAGAACAAACAATTCCCTGTAATGAAATTTCATTTAGCTTCATCTTTTTGAAAGTTGTGATTCTATTTGACAATTTACTTACTCCATATAATGTGCTCCATAAATCAATATCAAATTTCATTTTCCAAGCTGAGGCTTTGTGCTCCACAAATAAAGTAAAAGCTGCAGACTGAGCAGCTCCAATGAAACTCATCCATGTAGTGAGTGAAAGTTGTGATGGATATTTTTGTAAGGTTATAGCCTGTTTTGATAATGAATTATTTGCCTAAACATTATAATTAATACTAAATGACAACATTTAAGAGAATCCATTTTCATAAGCCTATTTCTTATGAATATTAAGAAAATGCATGTTTTATAACTTAAAGAAATTCAAATTTTAAAAGTGCATGGCTTAAAACGTTGTAAAAGATGAACAATTACACGTTCATAGCATGAAACATAAGCTTTCTAATTTAAAATTTATCACTTCATAAATTTTGAAAGATGAGAAGCATGAGCAACAATTTTTGAAGGTTTTAACAATCTAATTCAACTTTTATGCTACTAAGAGAATTTTAACAAACAAATAAATAAATAAATTATATATATTCCATGATAAAATAACCTATGCTTCTACTAAACAAGCTCTAAATTTCTTGTTTTAATAGTTTTTTTTTTCTTAATTAGTAATAAATGTAATAAAATGATTGAGAATATGATGAAAGTTTAATTTCTAGTTTTGTTGGAATCTCATTTTTTCTTTTGATGGCTATTCCATTAAGAGGGTAAAAAGCAATTGATCTTTAAGAAAAATTTTGTGTATTTTGTGTTATCTTATACTTTATCAATATATATATATATATATATATATATATA